CCTTAATTTCTGTATCTGCTGATATTATATATATTATTAGTATTATTTGTATTATTGTATTATTATTTGTATTATAACCAGTATTATAATAATAATACTGGTTATTTATGACATTTGCACATTATGCTGGCAATGATGTGAATAGACCAGGCAGGGACATCAATAACTTCTGCAGCAAGCACTAGTGGCAATGCATTAAAACAATGTTTCAGTGCTGCTTGAGTAATTGTCATGGCAGTTGTCAAAACAGACTAAATCATTTTTTGCCAAGTTGAAAGGAAGAATTTGAAGAAAAGAAAGCATGATACCAATAAATAGTTAATTTTTTTGCTGTGAAGTAGAATTAGTAAAAGCACACAGTTTCTTTAAAAAATTTCATGTAAGTTTCATATTTCATATGATATATTACTGTGATACAGATACAACTGAATCAAATTCACTATCATTTGAATGATATTAGATTCTAATAGAAAATCAAATTAGCTAAAGATTAATGCATTTTTAAATTATAATTTAAATGTGTATATTAGTGACTTTGTGTATGGTATTTTTTGTTATAAAATGCTTTGTTATAACCTTATAAACAGTTGGTGCTTATAAGTATTACTGAAGTCTCCTGTTAAAAGCTTACATTATAAAATAACATTGTAATGGTAGCCAATCATAATAATCCTTTACTTATAACAAGACCAATAAGATGCAGCAAAATATTTAATCATTTTTTTCAAAAATAGTGAGCAAAAAAATGACACAATTTTGTTAAGCTTAAGGCTGAACGGCATAACTCTCTCAAAGCCACAGAAAGTGGTCTAGAACAACTTAATATTGAATGGATACAAAAATGCAAGATCTCATGATTGTGAGACCAAATTATGAAAAATTGGTAATTTATATACTAAATAATTTGCCAATTCTTCTGGATCAAAGATTTCCACAGTTTGGATGGCATTCATTTGATCATTACAATATTGTTTACTTGTTGGTAAATAATTTTGTTTAATTTCATTACTTATTTTCTGTGACATTACGGTCATTTTCTGTCAATAATCTCGTTTTCAAAATGTAACATTACAAGTATAACAAGTTTGTGTGCAAATGCCATCTATGATGTTTAATGTTATACCATTTATAAACTTGAAAACATATAAGAAAATATTGATGCACAAAACTTACTATTAAACATTTTCTGAAAATACATAACAAATGACTGCAAGACATTGTCTATTAGTTTTGTACTGTACATAAAATATTAGCACTTAAGATTAAATAAATATTAATTAACAATATTTTTTTCATCTTTAAAACTTTTTTTTAACAAACTTTAGAAATAAAATGCAAATACATCATGAAAATATTTTAGTTTAAAAACTGGCTTTTGAATCTATTCTAAAAAGAACCTGTTATACTTCTATGAATTCTATTTCACAAAACAGCTGAAAATAATTAAATTTTTCTATTCTACATAACTTCTTCTACAACTGAATAAAAAGTAGTTCAGTCTCTTTTGATAACTGCCAAGTTAAGCTGAAAAAACCATAACCTTATTTTGGCTTTTGTTATTTTATTAATATATAAGAGACTATTTGCTTTTCACAAAGGCCTGTACATCTTGTCTAAGTAATAGAAAAATAATATAGGCTCTACACTAGAGTTTATGCACTATTTAAGCATCCTTTATTTATTTTTTTAAATGTTGAAACCCAGGCAAGACCAAAGGCCAATTGGATCAAATTGGCCCCTGCACTTGTACATTTACTGTTTTCCCTAAGGAAAAATACATTTAATAATATTTTTTCAGTTAGACATTATAATAAAAATACTACTTTGATTTAACCTGGCCAATAACATTGTTTTACAGTCTTATTTTTATTCAAAATCTAACTTTTCCAGGCTATGTTTGACTAGTGGATTTATCAGCCATCTGATAACTCCAGCTTCCAGCTAAGTAGCAGGAGTAAAGACATCAATCATGTTGAATCAAAGCAGTGGCATAATTACTATTAGATGGTCAGATTGCCAAGTGGTTAAATGACAGCCTACCACTCTGAGAACCTAGAACAAAAATGGATGGATTGAGAAACTCCAGGGATTTTTCAGCAGGTAATCTGTTCATATACATTCCTCATCATTCAGTCACCCCATTGTGGGTCTGGCCAAATCCATAAGGAACTTGCTATTTTTAGCAACTCCATTATGCAATTTCATGTAATGACAAAAAAAAGGCCTACAAAAACGTTCCCAATAAATATATTTTATATGCTTGTGTTATAATGTATAACTAAATAAATGTCCTTAATAATAGGTGTGTGATGCTGTAGGATTAAAAAGAACAACCAAAATTTGTCATGTTGATATTTAACAATGACCAATGACTGACTACCATTCACATCCAATATACAGTCATTGTCAACAATACTCATTTGAAAAGAACATAATATCTAGTGAAGAACATAAATGTTAATGTGTTTGAACAATAATACAAACATTTGGTCAAAGACATCATTGTCATGCTACTTTGGTCATTCATGTAAATGAACAGATGTTTGTATCATTTTATGTTTCACATCATCAACTATAACATATATATTAATTGGGTATATTGGAAAGAATTTAATACTTTCTACATCATAATTTAATTTCAATAAGTTTGATGTAATTTATTTTTCTTAAGAATGATATTTCAGATATAAATATGTAAGCAAAACCACAACCAAAAATAGATTACTGCATATTAAAGTTATTAACTTTACACTTTTTATAGTAAACGAATCTATATTTAATATAAATTTTCATATACGCCAAATAAATGTAAATAATATTCAAATATATAAATGCTCATATACCTTAATTTCTGTATCTGCTGTACTGCTAAAAGCATCTTTAAAAGGATCAGCACCAAATGGATCAGCTGCCTCTGCTGAAGCATCATCATCACCTTTGAATGGATCTAAAATAATAAATTTTATATAGTTCTAACATAAAATAAACTAAAAATCTTAATATAATTAAGACTATAATCATATAAATTTTTCTTTAAAATAAAAATTTACAATTTTATATTTTCTTATCAATGTTACTACTGTATTGATAGGTAAATCAGTCTTTATACAAAACAATTTAATTAAAAATACAAAAATTAAGAATAGCATTATTTTAAGAAATCAATAATATCAATAATCCATTTAAAATATGACATTTCAGATATGATTCATTGTGCCACCAAAGATATTTTGCAACATTTCCAACATTTTTGTAGCAGTAATTCTGTTGCAAAAACAAAATTTAATGCACATTCTTTGCTCAATTACACTTGACATTTTAAAAAATTGCCAGTGCAACAATTCTTTACATACAAAACAAACATTTATTTGCAAATGAAAACAGACAATGACATACAGATTGCTGCTAATTTGATGAAAGTTGTATCAAACAAAAAAAAATGACAACACCCTCTTGCATGTGCAAAGTTTACATGAATCATTCCTGATACTTTTTGATCACAGGAATATATTAATATTGCTAAAAGTAACAAAAGAAATTGGATAATGAGAATGACTGAATTTAAAATTGATTTTCTTCCTTGCATTCTGCTACTTCTTTCTGTAATGTAACAATACAATTATGAAACATAATCGGAATGCAAAATACACAATTGTACAAGCAATGGTCAAAAGCTTTTGACCATTACATATTCCATTAAGATAAATTTTAAGTGATTTATTTATTTTTCTATATTTCTTTTCTTTTTGTTCTTAAACAACTGATGCAGATTCATCAATTTGGATCAAAAATGTTTTTGTTTTCATTAAAAGTGCTGTTGAAGTTTAGTAAAGTATTTGTTTTTTTATTACTTAGTTCTTCCATTTTGTTTTTATTTGTTATTAAATCCAATAATATAATTAGTAATTTCCTAAAATAATACAAGAGTATGGGCCATTCATTTTTAATTGCAAATAGTGTCTTACTGAAGTTGAAAAAATTACAAAATATTTCCTATGGACGAACTTTAACGCTGTCTTTCTTTTTGAGTCCCTTCATACATCAGTAGGAAATAACAATTTTACAGTGGAGTCAACCTTTATTTGGAGGCTTCTCCCGCTGCTCAGCATGCAAAACATTATGATGCACTCTCTGGTGGCAGCACAAACACTTATAAAAATTATACATTTAATAAAAAAACAAAAACAAAAACTTGTAAAATTCGTCCATAAAAAATATTTTGTAATTTTTCGAAGTTCATACTTATTGTCCCAGCAATAAACTTTTAGTGTTACTACTGTTTAATTATCCAAAATAGTAACCGTAACTTCATCTAATACTGTTAATTAGATTGTATTTTAATATGCAATCAACATGACACAAAGTCTGTGCCATTTTCTAATAATATAAAAAGATGTATCAGATAGCATATTTGAATATAGCAGAAGATTCTGTGTAAAAAATTTGATTACATATATAGTCTCCTTTGCCTGTTAGGATTGGAGTCTACAAAAGACTCCAATTCCAAAAGCTGCTGCTACTTTTGCCATTTGCATCGACCATTTGTTCAAAATACTGCTGACAATAAACTTTTAATTACAAATGTAAATATTACTAAATGGTTGAGGCATTAACAGCAAACCTGACACTTAAGAAAGTTAACAGTTACAGCTAATCTGAGGCTGTAACAGTTAATCTGAATTAATTACAGCAGGACTAAAAGTTCCCCTTACTGCCCATAGGCAAACAGAGTTAAAAAATGAAGAAAATTACAAATAAATTGTTGATGCATAATTTCTCATAAAATTTTAAGTGTGAAATTTTCTCTAATTAACAGTATTAGAAAAACTATGATTTTAAAGATTCCTTGCTTTCAAAGTTTAAATTTTTCATTTTTTAATATTTTTTCAATATTCTGCCATTTTGACTAAATTTCAGCATAAAATTTCATTCTAACAAATGCATTTTGACGATCCCACAGTTTCATTATACTGACATTATATTAAGTAAGAAAGATGAAACTAAAATTATTAAACTTTTAGTCTGGGAAATTACTAATAATAAATACAATAAAAGTAAAACATTTATTCTAACTTTAGATATAGTGTTAGATAGATCTTTAAGATAGGAAAATAATTATAACATTGAACAATGTCAAACTATTCTTAAACATTTAAAATTTAAACTTATAATCTAGAACTTTTAAGTTAATTGAACTGATATAATTAGCATTTATGTTTTATATACATTAAAAACTTTTTAACTGAATTAAAAACAGATACAATTTATATAGTCTTACTAACAAGTGTTTCATTATATTAGAATTGTTTAAAACAAAATAATTAAATATTTGTTACTTATTTCAAAAGTCTGATGCAGATCCAAATGTGTTCACTGAATAAAACAATCTTTTATCTCTTAAAACAGCCTAATTGCTGTTGTGTTATATATATGATAGTTCTAAATTTAAATAATTAAATTATCAAGCTTCATTGACAGTATTAAGAATTCTTTAACATTATACCTGATTTAAATGGATCTTCTCCACCAAATGGGTCAGTTGTAAAACCATTAACTCCACTAAATGGATCTTTACTTTTAAATGGATCATCCTGAAAATTTTATATTTTATAAATATATAAATAAAAAAAATGAAATATTTGAAAGAAAAATTCAAAATTTATTACAAAAAAATATTTATTAGTGATTATAATAATAATAATTCTATTTTATCACAATTCAATTATCAATTTATTATTGATCATTGCATATAATAATGGCATGAAATATATTTGAAATAATGGCATGAAAAATGCCATTATTTCAAATATAGTATTCTTTTGAATGTCACTCTTCCAAAAGTTTCCTATATGATTATATCATGATTTATTTCATATCATATTGGTTTTAGTTCAGTAATCATTACTTTTATATTTATTTTATAAACTTTATGCAAAACAGATTCAATTATAAAAATCTATTAACAATCACTACCATGAAAAAATTTTTAAAATATAAACTCTTAAATGATGGCTATTATTTCAAAAAGTAAAATTTTAAATTCAGACAGTAATGTGCATTTGAATACAGTAATACCTCGACTTATGCTACCCTGACTTACGCAAACCTGGAGTTACGCGATTTTCAAATCTCGTCGATTTGTCTTTTGTTTGAGTGCCACACAACTCTTGATTACTCACTCTCCCACACTATTTTGTTCGGCTTACATGTTCGGACATGTCGCACAGAATTGACACATAGTTACAATTTATTTTGTGTTATTTATTTATAGTTGTTATATCTACGGAGACTTGAGAGACTCTATGTGGTGATTTCTTGTAACCGTGAAAGCATTAAAAGACGAGATAAGATTAACGAGAACATTTATTAGCTTACATACATCCAACTTGGATTTTACACAAACTGCGAAATTATACCCCGACTTATGCGAATTCAACTTACGCGGTTATCGCTCAGTCCCACATATCACGTAAGTTTGGGGTATTACTGTATTTCTTATAATAATTTTTTAAATATGAACTTTAGAAATCTCTAATTTTCTTTCATTACTCTGATCATTAATCCTAAATGATTTTGAATATAAGAATTATTATTATTGTGGTTACAATATCATTGATTATTTAATAAAGAATCCTAAGATTTACAAATAATTTAATATCAAAATACACATAATACTTACTTCAGTTACTTTAAATTCATCAATTCCTTCCGTCACACTAAATGCTCCAACACTACTAACAGGACTACTACCTGCCTATAATAAATATAATACTATATTAATCTAAAACATATAGTAAAATGTTATTTCTAAATTTTTTAATATAAATTTAGATAGCATTTTTATATTCATTAAAAATTCTTAATCTAAAATAAGAATGTTTTTATAATATAGAGAGTGCATTGATCACAACATTGGGCATGAATTGTACTAGTTCTCAATTTAAAACTTTTATAATGGTCAATCCAATTAACTTCTGCCAAATAATCAAAATATTATTAATTATTGGAGATATTAAGTCTTAATCAAAAGGCTTCAAATATTTACAATTAAATTTTATATACATATCCCTTGAACATCAGACCTGTTTTCTCAATCAAAGCTGTCCAAGATGATTGGGGGTCAATCAAGCTTCATATTTTCTTCTTAAACTCAACAGAAGGAGCTTTTAGAGAGGAATATAATCTTCTGGATTCGAGCAAATTAAAACTGATGAAGCTTTCTATAAATTCCTCAATTCCACTATTTCCTTCATAATATGCAAACTTTATAACTACAGACTCTTCTTCAACTCACATTCAACTATAGATCTTTAACCATATGTCCTCTTATACATGTATAACATCTTGTTCTTATGTTATATAAGCTATAGGCTATTATCTATGCATATTTATAAATAAAAATAAAATAAATTATATAATAACTGTAATGATTATGTAAAGATTCTAACAAAACCATAAAGATGCTGTTTTGAAAAGTTTTAGACTATTTTTTGATATCATCATTCTACTTTTTACTATTTTAAAAATCAATTCAATTAATAAATATTTTAGTAAAAATTACAAATAATTTAAATATATATAATATGCTATATACATTTAAAAGATAAAAACTTGTCAAAACAATTACAGTAATTCTAGTTGATATGTATAAATGCAAACAATGAACATAAAAGCAAATTATTTTATTTTATCAAAATTTTGAAGCTACATCACATTAAAAGTATATCCATTTTATAAAATTAAAATATAAATAAATTACAGTGTAATAAAAACATCATTTTAACTAATGATTAACAAACACATTCATTAAATTTGATAAAGAAATTTCACATTTTACATTCAAATTTATTCAACCAAAACTATTTATTTATCTTCTATTATTTAATTTTGATTATTATACACTTTGGTTATTGGATCTGATATTTATAAACTAAATCTTTTATACACAAAAATCAATGTATTTTTTATATTGAAAAATAATAAATTAAATAAATATTATAGCAATCTTTTAATTTATTAACACTTACTGTGTTAGAAAGTCTTTGATATTCAGGTTCTGATAATGGAGGTGTTATTGTGCATATCACTGCCAATGAATCATTGACATTACTAAAATCTCCACTTTTAATAGCAGTGTCATAAAGTTGAAGTGCATCTGTCATTTGCTGATGCTGTTCTTGAAGTTGTGAAATTTTTAATCTTGTCTGAAAAAATCAATTTAAATTATTAAAACTACCGAAATAGCAATATAGTTTATTATAATAAATTTTAATTAAATAAAGCAACAATAAATGATATATTTTCAAATATACTAAAAAATTTTTGTTACAGTATAAGCATTCCTGTCCTATGTAATTATGTTTTCTTTGAAAATAGTTCAATATATATTAAATAGTATTGAAAAATAACAGGACAAAACAGCATGTTTTGATATAGTAAAATCAATGAGAACCAGGTTGAGTCACCATAGATTGAACAAGTACACAGTAGTAAAGTTCATTACCTTCATATAAATATCCATCTAGGAAAAAGAAAAGGGGGGTTTTATTATGTCAGTATACAGTAAAACCAACAACTCAGCCAACATATATATATTGATCAATAGTCTCGGATTAAAACTGGCAGCAATTAGATCACTATTCAGGACAATTCAATATAACACAAGAAAGTAAGATCTAGAGAAGGAAGCTCAGTACATTGAAATATTTTAGGTTGAAATATGGATACTGAAACATCTCCTCCAAAATATTGGGTTGATGCAAATGTTTCTGAAATTTTTTAGATGTATCTAGAATATTCAAAATTGTTCTCTGACAGATGACATCTAGAAGTTTTTAGTGGGGTACATAAATGAAAGGTGTTAAAATGCAAAATCATATGTGAAAAGATATTGTGTGGGCAATACTAACTTTTCAAATATATCAAGTTTGTCAATGCTTTCTTGTGCCAAATTCACACACATTTTATGATTATCAATTTGATATAAAAGCAGCTGAATCTTATTGCTGTATGGTACAATTGGTTGGTAAGAATGTCTTCCTCAAGTCTACAATGTACAATTGATTCAGTGCATTTAATGCTGGGCAATATGAAGTTGAAGATAAGCCTTACATTCAATTTATATGCCTTTGTGTCCTTAACTAAATAATTTTAAGATAAATTGTCAACTAGGACATATTTATTATTAGGACTAGGGTTTCTCATTTCCTGGGAAATTTGCCTCCAGCGGGATTATGGGAAAAATAATTTTCCTGGGATGAAATAATAAAATAGAATTTCATATGAATAAAAAATATCATACAGGAATATCATAAATTTGANTATTAGTATTATTTGTATTATTGTATTATTATTTGTATTATAACCAGTATTATAATAATAATACTGGTTATTTATGACATTTGCACATTATGCTGGCAATGATGTGAATAGACCAGGCAGGGACATCAATAACTTCTGCAGCAAGCACTAGTGGCAATGCATTAAAACAATGTTTCAGTGCTGCTTGAGTAATTGTCATGGCAGTTGTCAAAACAGACTAAATCATTTTTTGCCAAGTTGAAAGGAAGAATTTGAAGAAAAGAAAGCATGATACCAATAAATAGTTAATTTTTTTGCTGTGAAGTAGAATTAGTAAAAGCACACAGTTTCTTTAAAAAATTTCATGTAAGTTTCATATTTCATATGATATATTACTGTGATACAGATACAACTGAATCAAATTCACTATCATTTGAATGATATTAGATTCTAATAGAAAATCAAATTAGCTAAAGATTAATGCATTTTTAAATTATAATTTAAATGTGTATATTAGTGACTTTGTGTATGGTATTTTTTGTTATAAAATGCTTTGTTATAACCTTATAAACAGTTGGTGCTTATAAGTATTACTGAAGTCTCCTGTTAAAAGCTTACATTATAAAATAACATTGTAATGGTAGCCAATCATAATAATCCTTTACTTATAACAAGACCAATAAGATGCAGCAAAATATTTAATCATTTTTTTCAAAAATAGTGAGCAAAAAAATGACACAATTTTGTTAAGCTTAAGGCTGAACGGCATAACTCTCTCAAAGCCACAGAAAGTGGTCTAGAACAACTTAATATTGAATGGATACAAAAATGCAAGATCTCATGATTGTGAGACCAAATTATGAAAAATTGGTAATTTATATACTAAATAATTTGCCAATTCTTCTGGATCAAAGATTTCCACAGTTTGGATGGCATTCATTTGATCATTACAATATTGTTTACTTGTTGGTAAATAATTTTGTTTAATTTCATTACTTATTTTCTGTGACATTACGGTCATTTTCTGTCAATAATCTCGTTTTCAAAATGTAACATTACAAGTATAACAAGTTTGTGTGCAAATGCCATCTATGATGTTTAATGTTATACCATTTATAAACTTGAAAACATATAAGAAAATATTGATGCACAAAACTTACTATTAAACATTTTCTGAAAATACATAACAAATGACTGCAAGACATTGTCTATTAGTTTTGTACTGTACATAAAATATTAGCACTTAAGATTAAATAAATATTAATTAACAATATTTTTTTCATCTTTAAAACTTTTTTTTAACAAACTTTAGAAATAAAATGCAAATACATCATGAAAATATTTTAGTTTAAAAACTGGCTTTTGAATCTATTCTAAAAAGAACCTGTTATACTTCTATGAATTCTATTTCACAAAACAGCTGAAAATAATTAAATTTTTCTATTCTACATAACTTCTTCTACAACTGAATAAAAAGTAGTTCAGTCTCTTTTGATAACTGCCAAGTTAAGCTGAAAAAACCATAACCTTATTTTGGCTTTTGTTATTTTATTAATATATAAGAGACTATTTGCTTTTCACAAAGGCCTGTACATCTTGTCTAAGTAATAGAAAAATAATATAGGCTCTACACTAGAGTTTATGCACTATTTAAGCATCCTTTATTTATTTTTTTAAATGTTGAAACCCAGGCAAGACCAAAGGCCAATTGGATCAAATTGGCCCCTGCACTTGTACATTTACTGTTTTCCCTAAGGAAAAATACATTTAATAATATTTTTTCAGTTAGACATTATAATAAAAATACTACTTTGATTTAACCTGGCCAATAACATTGTTTTACAGTCTTATTTTTATTCAAAATCTAACTTTTCCAGGCTATGTTTGACTAGTGGATTTATCAGCCATCTGATAACTCCAGCTTCCAGCTAAGTAGCAGGAGTAAAGACATCAATCATGTTGAATCAAAGCAGTGGCATAATTACTATTAGATGGTCAGATTGCCAAGTGGTTAAATGACAGCCTACCACTCTGAGAACCTAGAACAAAAATGGATGGATTGAGAAACTCCAGGGATTTTTCAGCAGGTAATCTGTTCATATACATTCCTCATCATTCAGTCACCCCATTGTGGGTCTGGCCAAATCCATAAGGAACTTGCTATTTTTAGCAACTCCATTATGCAATTTCATGTAATGACAAAAAAAAGGCCTACAAAAACGTTCCCAATAAATATATTTTATATGCTTGTGTTATAATGTATAACTAAATAAATGTCCTTAATAATAGGTGTGTGATGCTGTAGGATTAAAAAGAACAACCAAAATTTGTCATGTTGATATTTAACAATGACCAATGACTGACTACCATTCACATCCAATATACAGTCATTGTCAACAATACTCATTTGAAAAGAACATAATATCTAGTGAAGAACATAAATGTTAATGTGTTTGAACAATAATACAAACATTTGGTCAAAGACATCATTGTCATGCTACTTTGGTCATTCATGTAAATGAACAGATGTTTGTATCATTTTATGTTTCACATCATCAACTATAACATATATATTAATTGGGTATATTGGAAAGAATTTAATACTTTCTACATCATAATTTAATTTCAATAAGTTTGATGTAATTTATTTTTCTTAAGAATGATATTTCAGATATAAATATGTAAGCAAAACCACAACCAAAAATAGATTACTGCATATTAAAGTTATTAACTTTACACTTTTTATAGTAAACGAATCTATATTTAATATAAATTTTCATATACGCCAAATAAATGTAAATAATATTCAAATATATAAATGCTCATATACCTTAATTTCTGTATCTGCTGTACTGCTAAAAGCATCTTTAAAAGGATCAGCACCAAATGGATCAGCTGCCTCTGCTGAAGCATCATCATCACCTTTGAATGGATCTAAAATAATAAATTTTATATAGTTCTAACATAAAATAAACTAAAAATCTTAATATAATTAAGACTATAATCATATAAATTTTTCTTTAAAATAAAAATTTACAATTTTATATTTTCTTATCAATGTTACTACTGTATTGATAGGTAAATCAGTCTTTATACAAAACAATTTAATTAAAAATACAAAAATTAAGAATAGCATTATTTTAAGAAATCAATAATATCAATAATCCATTTAAAATATGACATTTCAGATATGATTCATTGTGCCACCAAAGATATTTTGCAACATTTCCAACATTTTTGTAGCAGTAATTCTGTTGCAAAAACAAAATTTAATGCACATTCTTTGCTCAATTACACTTGACATTTTAAAAAATTGCCAGTGCAACAATTCTTTACATACAAAACAAACATTTATTTGCAAATGAAAACAGACAATGACATACAGATTGCTGCTAATTTGATGAAAGTTGTATCAAACAAAAAAAAATGACAACACCCTCTTGCATGTGCAAAGTTTACATGAATCATTCCTGATACTTTTTGATCACAGGAATATATTAATATTGCTAAAAGTAACAAAAGAAATTGGATAATGAGAATGACTGAATTTAAAATTGATTTTCTTCCTTGCATTCTGCTACTTCTTTCTGTAATGTAACAATACAATTATGAAACATAATCGGAATGCAAAATACACAATTGTACAAGCAATGGTCAAAAGCTTTTGACCATTACATATTCCATTAAGATAAATTTTAAGTGATTTATTTATTTTTCTATATTTCTTTTCTTTTTGTTCTTAAACAACTGATGCAGATTCATCAATTTGGATCAAAAATGTTTTTGTTTTCATTAAAAGTGCTGTTGAAGTTTAGTAAAGTATTTGTTTTTTTATTACTTAGTTCTTCCATTTTGTTTTTATTTGTTATTAAATCCAATAATATAATTAGTAATTTCCTAAAATAATACAAGAGTATGGGCCATTCATTTTTAATTGCAAATAGTGTCTTACTGAAGTTGAAAAAATTACAAAATATTTCCTATGGACGAACTTTAACGCTGTCTTTCTTTTTGAGTCCCTTCATACATCAGTAGGAAATAACAATTTTACAGTGGAGTCAACCTTTATTTGGAGGCTTCTCCCGCTGCTCAGCATGCAAAACATTATGATGCACTCTCTGGTGGCAGCACAAACACTTATAAAAATTATACATTTAATAAAAAAACAAAAACAAAAACTTGTAAAATTCGTCCATAAAAAATATTTTGTAATTTTTCGAAGTTCATACTTATTGTCCCAGCAATAAACTTTTAGTGTTACTACTGTTTAATTATCCAAAATAGTAACCGTAACTTCATCTAATACTGTTAATTAGATTGTATTTTAATATGCAATCAACATGACACAAAGTCTGTGCCATTTTCTAATAATATAAAAAGATGTATCAGATAGCATATTTGAATATAGCAGAAGATTCTGTGTAAAAAATTTGATTACATATATAGTCTCCTTTGCCTGTTAGGATTGGAGTCTACAAAAGACTCCAATTCCAAAAGCTGCTGCTACTTTTGCCATTTGCATCGACCATTTGTTCAAAATACTGCTGACAATAAACTTTTAATTACAAATGTAAATATTACTAAATGGTTGAGGCATTAACAGCAAACCTGACACTTAAGAAAGTTAACAGTTACAGCTAATCTGAGGCTGTAACAGTTAATCTGAATTAATTACAGCAGGACTAAAAGTTCCCCTTACTGCCCATAGGCAAACAGAGTTAAAAAATGAAGAAAATTACAAATAAATTGTTGATGCATAATTTCTCATAAAATTTTAAGTGTGAAATTTTCTCTAATTAACAGTATTAGAAAAACTATGATTTTAAAGATTCCTTGCTTTCAAAGTTTAAATTTTTCATTTTTTAATATTTTTTCAATATTCTGCCATTTTGACTAAATTTCAGCATAAAATTTCATTCTAACAAATGCATTTTGACGATCCCACAGTTTCATTATACTGACATTATATTAAGTAAGAAAGATGAAACTAAAATTATTAAACTTTTAGTCTGGGAAATTACTAATAATAAATACAATAAAAGTAAAACATTTATTCTAACTTTAGATATAGTGTTAGATAGATCTTTAAGATAGGAAAATAATTATAACATTGAACAATGTCAAACTATTCTTAAACATTTAAAATTTAAACTTATAATCTAGAACTTTTAAGTTAATTGAACTGATATAATTAGCATTTATGTTTTATATACATTAAAAACTTTTTAACTGAATTAAAAACAGATACAATTTATATAGTCTTACTAACAAGTGTTTCATTATATTAGAATTGTTTAAAACAAAATAATTAAATATTTGTTACTTATTTCAAAAGTCTGATGCAGATCCAAATGTGTTCACTGAATAAAACAATCTTTTATCTCTTAAAACAGCCTAATTGCTGTTGTGTTATATATATGATAGTTCTAAATTTAAATAATTAAATTATCAAGCTTCATTGACAGTATTAAGAATTCTTTAACATTATACCTGATTTAAATGGATCTTCTCCACCAAATGGGTCAGTTGTAAAACCATTAACTCCACTAAATGGATCTTTACTTTTAAATGGATCATCCTGAAAATTTTATATTTTATAAATATATAAATAAAAAAAATGAAATATTTGAAAGAAAAATTCAAAATTTATTACAAAAAAATATTTATTAGTGATTATAATAATAATAATTCTATTTTATCACAATTCAATTATCAATTTATTATTGATCATTGCATATAATAATGGCATGAAATATATTTGAAATAATGGCATGAAAAATGCCATTATTTCAAATATAGTATTCTTTTGAATGTCACTCTTCCAAAAGTTTCCTATATGATTATATCATGATTTATTTCATATCATATTGGTTTTAGTTCAGTAATCATTACTTTTATATTTATTTTATAAACTTTATGCAAAACAGATTCAATTATAAAAATCTATTAACAATCACTACCATGAAAAAATTTTTAAAATATAAACTCTTAAATGATGGCTATTATTTCAAAAAGTAAAATTTTAAATTCAGACAGTAATGTGCATTTGAATACAGTAATACCTCGACTTATGCTACCCTGACTTACGCAAACCTGGAGTTACGCGATTTTCAAATCTCGTCGATTTGTCTTTTGTTTGAGTGCCACACAACTCTTGATTACTCACTCTCCCACACTATTTTGTTCGGCTTACATGTTCGGACATGTCGCACAGAATTGACACATAGTTACAATTTATTTTGTGTTATTTATTTATAGTTGTTATATCTACGGAGACTTGAGAGACTCTATGTGGTGATTTCTTGTAACCGTGAAAGCATTAAAAGACGAGATAAGATTAACGAGAACATTTATTAGCTTACATACATCCAACTTGGATTTTACACAAACTGCGAAATTATACCCCGACTTATGCGAATTCAACTTACGCGGTTATCGCTCAGTCCCACATATCACGTAAGTTTGGGGTATTACTGTATTTCTTATAATAATTTTTTAAATATGAACTTTAGAAATCTCTAATTTTCTTTCATTACTCTGATCATTAATCCTAAATGATTTTGAATATAAGAATTATTATTATTGTGGTTACAATATCATTGATTATTTAATAAAGAATCCTAAGATTTACAAATAATTTAATATCAAAATACACATAATACTTACTTCAGTTACTTTAAATTCATCAATTCCTTCCGTCACACTAAATGCTCCAACACTACTAACAGGACTACTACCTGCCTATAATAAATATAATACTATATTAATCTAAAACATATAGTAAAATGTTATTTCTAAATTTTTTAATATAAATTTAGATAGCATTTTTATATTCATTAAAAATTCTTAATCTAAAATAAGAATGTTTTTATAATATAGAGAGTGCATTGATCACAACATTGGGCATGAATTGTACTAGTTCTCAATTTAAAACTTTTATAATGGTCAATCCAATTAACTTCTGCCAAATAATCAAAATATTATTAATTATTGGAGATATTAAGTCTTAATCAAAAGGCTTCAAATATTTACAATTAAATTTTATATACATATCCCTTGAACATCAGACCTGTTTTCTCAATCAAAGCTGTCCAAGATGATTGGGGGTCAATCAAGCTTCATATTTTCTTCTTAAACTCAACAGAAGGAGCTTTTAGAGAGGAATATAATCTTCTGGATTCGAGCAAATTAAAACTGATGAAGCTTTCTATAAATTCCTCAATTCCACTATTTCCTTCATAATATGCAAACTTTATAACTACAGACTCTTCTTCAACTCACATTCAACTATAGATCTTTAACCATATGTCCTCTTATACATGTATAACATCTTGTTCTTATGTTATATAAGCTATAGGCTATTATCTATGCATATTTATAAATAAAAATAAAATAAATTATATAATAACTGTAATGATTATGTAAAGATTCTAACAAAACCATAAAGATGCTGTTTTGAAAAGTTTTAGACTATTTTTTGATATCATCATTCTACTTTTTACTATTTTAAAAATCAATTCAATTAATAAATATTTTAGTAAAAATTACAAATAATTTAAATATATATAATATGCTATATACATTTAAAAGATAAAAACTTGTCAAAACAATTACAGTAATTCTAGTTGATATGTATAAATGCAAACAATGAACATAAAAGCAAATTATTTTATTTTATCAAAATTTTGAAGCTACATCACATTAAAAGTATATCCATTTTATAAAATTAAAATATAAATAAATTACAGTGTAATAAAAACATCATTTTAACTAATGATTAACAAACACATTCATTAAATTTGATAAAGAAATTTCACATTTTACATTCAAATTTATTCAACCAAAACTATTTATTTATCTTCTATTATTTAATTTTGATTATTATACACTTTGGTTATTGGATCTGATATTTATAAACTAAATCTTTTATACACAAAAATCAATGTATTTTTTATATTGAAAAATAATAAATTAAATAAATATTATAGCAATCTTTTAATTTATTAACACTTACTGTGTTAGAAAGTCTTTGATATTCAGGTTCTGATAATGGAGGTGTTATTGTGCATATCACTGCCAATGAATCATTGACATTACTAAAATCTCCACTTTTAATAGCAGTGTCATAAAGTTGAAGTGCATCTGTCATTTGCTGATGCTGTTCTTGAAGTTGTGAAATTTTTAATCTTGTCTGAAAAAATCAATTTAAATTATTAAAACTACCGAAATAGCAATATAGTTTATTATAATAAATTTTAATTAAATAAAGCAACAATAAATGATATATTTTCAAATATACTAAAAAATTTTTGTTACAGTATAAGCATTCCTGTCCTATGTAATTATGTTTTCTTTGAAAATAGTTCAATATATATTAAATAGTATTGAAAAATAACAGGACAAAACAGCATGTTTTGATATAGTAAAATCAATGAGAACCAGGTTGAGTCACCATAGATTGAACAAGTACACAGTAGTAAAGTTCATTACCTTCATATAAATATCCATCTAGGAAAAAGAAAAGGGGGGTTTTATTATGTCAGTATACAGTAAAACCAACAACTCAGCCAACATATATATATTGATCAATAGTCTCGGATTAAAACTGGCAGCAATTAGATCACTATTCAGGACAATTCAATATAACACAAGAAAGTAAGATCTAGAGAAGGAAGCTCAGTACATTGAAATATTTTAGGTTGAAATATGGATACTGAAACATCTCCTCCAAAATATTGGGTTGATGCAAATGTTTCTGAAATTTTTTAGATGTATCTAGAATATTCAAAATTGTTCTCTGACAGATGACATCTAGAAGTTTTTAGTGGGGTACATAAATGAAAGGTGTTAAAATGCAAAATCATATGTGAAAAGATATTGTGTGGGCAATACTAACTTTTCAAATATATCAAGTTTGTCAATGCTTTCTTGTGCCAAATTCACACACATTTTATGATTATCAATTTGATATAAAAGCAGCTGAATCTTATTGCTGTATGGTACAATTGGTTGGTAAGAATGTCTTCCTCAAGTCTACAATGTACAATTGATTCAGTGCATTTAATGCTGGGCAATATGAAGTTGAAGATAAGCCTTACATTCAATTTATATGCCTTTGTGTCCTTAACTAAATAATTTTAAGATAAATTGTCAACTAGGACATATTTATTATTAGGACTAGGGTTTCTCATTTCCTGGGAAATTTGCCTCCAGCGGGATTATGGGAAAAATAATTTTCCTGGGATGAAATAATAAAATAGAATTTCATATGAATAAAAAATATCATACAGGAATATCATAAATTTGAATAATTTAATTTATTTTCTAGTAAGTAACTAAAAGTGTAGTGCCAATCTCACCCATACGGACACGTTAGGCTCAATTAATTTAGGTTTTCCTACATTATAAGATGAAAGTAAAATAAAGCGTTTCATTGGGAGTTTTAATGATTACGAAGAAAATACTATTTTACTTCTAAAGATGAAATAATAAAATAGAATTTCATATGAATAAAAAATATCATACAGGAATATCATAAATTTGAATAATTTAATTTATTTTCTAGTAAGTAATCTCACCCGTACCAACACGTTAGGCTCAATTAATTTATGTTTTCCTACATTATAAGATGAAAGTAAAATAAAGCGTTTCATTGGGAGTTTTAATGAAAATAATAATGATTACGAAAAAAATACTATTTTATTTCTAAAGATGAAATAAAAAAATATACTTATTCCATAAATTTAATGAGAAAAAATACAATTATTTTGAATTGAACAAAAAATACAACTTCTCCAAAAAAAAATTATTTTCAGTTGAACATAAAAAATACTACTCAAAAAATTTATGAAAACAAAAATCTCTCTCTCTCAAAAAAAAAAAAAAAAAAAAACATAATTTTCATAATAAGACTTCAAAAAGCAAAAATGATCGATACTTTGATCACTTGATCTAGTTCTCAATTTGGTCACAAAAAGACCTGCAGCTGAAAACACCAATGGTTTGATTTTATAAATTATATTAAAATAAATTGTTGTAAAATACGAGTAATTGACTAATAGAGAAATTTCAAATAATCACACTTACAGTTACAAACGATAGGATATAACTGGGAATGTAAGCTTTAACAAATTCCTTAACTTATAAATGCGAATTCGAAACTAAAGTGTGATGAGTGATATTTACTTTCAGCAAGTGCTCTGCTGTTCAATAATGTGCAAACACAATACATAGATATTACATGAACTAACAAGTAGAGACTTGTAAAACATAGGTACAGTAATAATATGCAGCATGAAACTTCAAAATTTCTCTTTTAGGTGAGTCTTCAAGATGCAACTTTTCATATAATAAATGATAGAAAGATAACATGACATGATAAATTACAGTAGAACATCGATTATCCGACTCAATTGGGGACTGGGGTTGGTCGGATAATTGAAAAATCAGATAACTGAAAAGTATGAAAAATCCATTATTAGTGTAGTATATTATTATATCCCATGTAATTAGTATATTAGTATATCGCTATTAACCTACTTCGCATTGAATTTTCCTCCATGTTAAGCCTATCAAATTTTTTTTAAATAATAATTGTTGCTATTGCATTGTTAAAAATTAGAAAATTAAGCCTCGTTTAAATACTGACTCCCTTTCATGGCCGAGCCAGTGTTGCCAGCTAAAACATGTAAAAATACTATTAAAGTAACCAAGACATAGCCAAATATTGTAGCGCCACATCACTAGCGGACATTTGAATTTGCTGACTAGAACAAGGTCGGTTAACCGTGGTGACGGTTAATCGGGGGTTGGATAATTGATGCTCTACTGTATTATTGAAATGTGAGATTTTTCTCGTAGGGAATAAACGGCAGGAATCCCAGAAAAACGGGATCCTGGGAAAGAAACCCTAATTAGGACTTATTATACTGGATGACTGGATTATTGTAATAAATAAAAATAGTTTTTATTTATTACAGGTGATAAATAAAGACTGTTTTTCTGAATTTGTTTACTTAATTTGCAGAACCAGTCATCCAGTATAATAAGTCATAATAATAAATATGTCCTAGTTGATGATTTATCTTAAAAATAAGCCTTACATCTTATTGAATGACTAGCTGGGCCAACTGGTGAAAGCAAACAATGCCTGACCATGCAAGAAATAAGTAGGACACATGTTTTAGACCAGTTCACTAAACCATGTGTCCACCAACCAAACCAGTCACCAAGCACACTAAGCATTGTGTGCTTTCTTCGTGACAATGCAAAATCCCATGTCAAGGTTGACCTGTCACCAGTTGTGATGTCAGAAGAGCATGCCTCATTTTTAGATTCAAGCTTGAGTCATTTTTTGACAGCTTTAGCACAACCAAGCAATTCAGTTGTGCACAGGAACAATTTTTAGATAGATCCTTCATTAGCTGCATGCAAATTAAAAACACTCATTGTCTGTACTGTTTTTGATATGAATGCACTGTTTGGTTTGAGATTTGACATACTGACAACTCTATGCACTAAGTAACAGCTACATATGATGCATTAGTACACTTATTTGAAAGTATATAAGAATGTTCTATATTTTTAGAAGATTATCCATAATCTATAATTTCCATGTGACTTCTGTAGAAACTATGGAAAATCTGTAGTGATCATCATCAAAAATCTATACTTAGCACCTCTGATATATTGAAAAACATTTTAAAATATTAAAAATTTGAAAAACTCCACATATGAATAATACTGTTCTATTCTTATAAAAAAAAAATATTACACAAAAGTTTGAAAATTGAATAAGTTATTATGTTCCATTGAGTTTTATATCTGAATATAAACTGAGAAACATTGAAAAACGTTTACAACATTTAAATAAAAACACATATATAAAGAAATAGTGGTTTGCTGTAAGTTATGCAATAACAATTCTTCAATTATAAATGTGTTCTTTAATTTTAAATTTAAAAAACTTTAAAAACCTACCTGATTTATTTGTAATTGTGTGTCCTGTAAGGATTTTGAATAATTATCTAAACTAGTTCTACTACTATTAATCTGTTGTTCAAGTTTTGTTTCCTCTTGTCTCAATTCTGTTAATTCTTGTCTTTTGGTATTTAATTCTGATTCTTGATTCTATATATAGAAAACACAAAATTGTTTAAGATTTATTAAACTTAAGAATTATAGTATAAATTTGAGATATGAATTCATTAAAATATATTACCTCTAAAGTGCTTTGTTGTTCTTCTAATTGTTTTTTCATATTTTCTACCTAAATTAATATAACAATAACAATAAAAATACTGTAGTCAAAAAATATCAGATGCATTAACAAATAAATTACAAAACTCAGGAACAAATACAAATCAATATAAAATTTTTCTTAATCTTTGTAATAACTTTTTCAAATGCATTTAGCATGTAAGTATAAATAAAACAAATACACTGCGTGCCAAAATGCAATCATTGTTTTTGAGTATTAAAATACAATTATTGTATAATTAAACAAACAGTATAAAATTTAATCAAATACTTTCATTATTTATAATATATTAAAAAATATCAGGCATCATTATTTTTCAAAGACCAAGAAAAGGATAAACTTACATTCAAATACAATAAAACCCTGTTAACACAAAACTGAAGGAATTTACAAATTGTCATTCTGTATTAATGTGGTTTGTATAAAGAAAACTTTACAAATTAAAAAAAGGCAAAATCCAAATTTTCTTTCAGTTATTTCATTAAAATATTTTCTCTTAGATATGTTTAAAAATAAACTTATGTTTCTCCAAACACACACTTTATTGAGATATAGTAATTTGTAAAAAGAATCACTACTCATTTTTCAACTTCAGTTAGAGTTAGCAGAACCACAATTAAAGCTACTGAATATAACATGCTAACTTATCTGCCAAATTCAATCCAAGAACTAAATATGCATAAATCTGTACAAATTTTAAAATAACTTATTGTTTGGATTTCAATGACAATAGTTTGTTTTAAATTTTAAAATTACAAACTAATTACAATATTTAATATTGTAACTCAGTTGTTTAATTAAAAGTAAAAACTATTTTGTAAAATTATTAACTCTCAGTTTCCAATGTACATGTCAACTGTCTTAATTAATTATTCAGCATTGTCACAGTATATAATAATTAAAAAATATATATATTTTACTGTTTAAGTTAAAAAAATATCTGTTTTGCCTATCATATCACCATGTCTTCAAATTATGAATATGACAATTTATAGTTAATACATTTTTTTGTTTTACTCTTATTAATCTTATTACATATTGAAAATTCTTAATTTTTTTAGTGTATTTTTGTCTCATTTTCAGTTTTTATTTTTGTCTGTAGAAATAAATGTTATGCTTTCAGATTATTCAAGCTCTATATTCAATAATATGAGCATAACAGTTAAAAATTGTTACACTCTTAATAGAATATATAATTCTTTATTTTTTTATATAAGAATTGTAATATATTTTGCAGAATAGAAAATATTGTGTTTTTATGTTGTATTAACTATTAATTTGATGATTTTAGAGCTTCTTTCTGATCATCCTGATTATCTAATTCTCATATTAATAAGATAACTTACAACAGGAATGCATCTATACTACACTATTTTTATACTAAATATTATTTAGTACTTAACCGATTTTGTTTTATTTTATATTTAATAACACTATTTGAATCATTTATTATAAATAAAAGTAAAAGTAAATAAATTAATAAAAGCTTCTATGCATAAAAAGCAATAATTATTGCTTTCTAAATATTTAAAATCTTTTTAAATACATGTATAATATATTGTTATCAATAAATAAAAATAATTTAAAATATTATAATTAATAATTAATGCATAAATTATTTTTATTCCAAAATATTCAAGTTTATACAAGGGTGCTGAAAAGTTTGCAATTTTGCCCAAATGCAAGAGAGAGAGCAAAAAGTATGCTACAAGTTGAACAGAGCGAAATCATTCTCTTACAGCACATGCACCATAAGAATCCATTACAATCATTAATATTCTTACTTTGACAATTTAAATTCATAGTGACTGCTCCAAGACCAAAATTCAGCAACATTGAGAAACATATAGTCATGAAGTTCTTATTCCTACAGAGGATAAGACTACAGGATATTTACTCTGAGATGCTAGTGACTCTAAGATAGGACTGCCCTTCCCTCACAAGGGTAAAGAAATGTATGGCATATTTCCAAATGATCATTTCAGCAATAGATGAAAATGCAAATGAAATTCATGATCTGATGAATTGTGAGAGGTTTTGAAAGAAACATGGCAGGGAAAACTGAGTCAAGGCCTGATCTTTCTGCAATACAACATCCTTGCTCCAAACCATATTTAAAAAAATCCAAAAATTTGGAGTTCAAATAGTTCGGCTAGCAGCCTATTTACCAGATCTCACCACTCAGATTATCATCTCTTCCCAGCTTTAAAGAAATGCCTAAAAAGGATGAAATTTGTTTCCTTCATAAGGAGGTCATTGGAGCTGCAGAGGTTAAAAAAAAAGGAACATTGTAATTAGTATGTAAAGTTGAGAGGTAATTATGTTGAATAAAATATATTCACTTTATCAAATTTCTCTCTTCTTGTACGAAAAGTCACAAATTTTTCAGCATTCTGTCATACAGTCAAACCCATTATTATGTTATCAATTTATGTTAAATGGATTTTTGGTTGCATGGATGAAGATAAGCATTTTAATGGTAACGAGTTCAGTTAATATGTAATATAAAGTTTGTCATGGTCCCATAAATTCAACAACAGTTTTATTATGTCAATTAATATAAAGTTATATTAAATGACATCAGAAAATCAAAGAGAGTTCCAAATATTATGAAATTGATAAATAACGATAAATGTTGCCTCAGTTGCCAGGTATACCTCGCCTTACATCGGTAATTGGTTCCAGGAGAGGTGACATAAATCGAAAAATGATGTAAGTCAAATTTACTTGTCTCCAAATCTACTTGTCACTAGGCTAAACCATAAATTACCATTCCCAGTTCTGTATTTTATTTATTAATGCATTTTTAATAATACAGTAGAGCATCGATTATCCGACTCAATTGGGGACTGGGGTTGGTCAGATAACTGAAAAAACAGATAACCGAAAAGTATGAAAAAATATATTAGTATAGTATATTATTATAACTCATGTAATTAGTATATTAGTATATCGCTACTAACGTACTTCATATTGAATTCTAATCGATGTTAAGCCTAACAATTTTTTTTAAAAATAATAATTGTCGCTATTGTGTTGTTAAAAATTATTTTTAAATTATTTTATTGCTTACACAATAAACAACCACTCATAATTAAAAAATTAAGCCACGTTTAAATACTGGCATCCCTTTCATGGTCGAGCCAGTGTTGCCAGCTAAAACACCAAAAATTTAACAAAAATAATATTAAAGGAGCCAAGCAAATATTATAGCACTGCATCACCAGTGGACATTTGAATTTGCCAACTAGAACGCAGTCGGTTAACCGATGTGACAATTGATCAGGGATTGGATAATCAATGCTCTACTGTATATGGTTAATAAGGATCTATTTTAAGCTTACAAACAAATAAATTTTAGTTTTTAATATAGTACAGAAAAAAGTAGTCTAAATTTACGAATGCATGTACTGTAAATACAGTTCATACTTGTAAATGTATATATTTTAATATGATTTTATGTGCTTTAAACATTTTTCTAGTGATATTACAACTTCAATATTTGTGGCGGACAGATGTAAAGTTGAATAAAATGACTTAAACTTGATTTTTATTTTTCCATATACTTTTTTGACAAACGACGTATAATCGGGAACGATGTAACTCGAAACGATGTAAGTCGAGGTATACCTGTATTTTAAAAATTGAGAAAACAACAAAACAGCATTCCCTATCAAAAATAGTTTAATTTGTTTTTAATGTTTTTATATTTATTTAATAAAATTAGTAACAGTAAAAAAATAGAATGATAATTAACATTCAATGCAGGAAATGATAACTGAATAAAATAATGAATGTAAAAAGATAAGTATAGTAAATGATCAATTATATTATTATCATCATCGATAAATCATAAACCAATTCATTTTTATAATTTTTCCATCAAATTTATCATCGTAAATAAATAATATCAAGGAATATCATCATTCAAAATGATTAATTCTCAATAATATGAATTCTAACAGAATTAAAACAATAATTAATACAATAAAAAATAACAAATTCTTAAACTGCATATTTATAATATAAGCACATTGATAAATATATGACAAAAATTGGAAAAAATAATTTTTTATTATAAAGCAGATATTGTTGGGTTAGTTATAATTTTCTGATTTATCCACAGTGAAAAATAATTTACAACAAACAATTATAACAATTTCTATAATTTGTAGTGTGTTTAATATTAACATATTATACAAATACATATATTAATGTTAAATATTAAACACATTATAAAATATAGAAATGGATAAACTATTAACCTTTGTGAACATTTATGAAAATTCTTGAGTGAGTTTTATTCTTCCATTAATCCACATGAGAAATTTATCTTACATGCAAAATTTATGCCTTTATAATGAAAAACAGTTTCTGATAATTATATGTATATTTAGTATTATTATATAAGTGTTTATATCTAGTTACAAATAAATAAAATTGTATATTATGAAAATATTGCTTTTATGAATATTAAACAATACAATTTTTAATGATAAAAATTTTTATTGAATGTATTTTACATAATTCCAAAATCTTTCTAAAAAATAAAATTAAATTTTATATTGATTTAAATTTCCTGAATTTTTAATTATTCTTAATATTATAATTCACAATAATCTTATGCAATATTTTTATTTATTTATAATAGAATATACAAGACAGGGTTTAATATGTTAATGCTTCTGGCAAATTATTCAAAAAATAAATTAATAATTTTAAATTATTGCATATTTGTGATTCAAATAAAATTTTTAAAAAATTAAAAATAACAAAAGAATAAAATGATTTAATTAACATGCACACACAACAATTCACTACCTGTCTCATTTCTTCTTCTATTCTTTCTTTCATTTCAGATAAACTTTTTTCTAAGGAACTTTTCTACAAACAAGTATAATTAAAATTGGCAAATTCAGCTAAAAAAATAAACTATATAAATGCAGATTTAAAAAAATCATATTTATAAACATAAAAATCAAAAAAAGCTTTAAAAAATTGAAAAATAAATTTTAAATGTAATAAAATTGCTTCACTCAGACAAATCAAACCATGCAATTTATATAAATTAAGTGAGCTAAAAAAGTAACAAAAATATATACCTAATAATTTTATTTAATTATTTGAATAAGTTAATAAGTTCTATACTTAATCAATAACCATATGTGCCAATAAAAAATTTCACTTTAAATTCCTATCTTAAAAACATATCTATTTACACTTTTGCAAAAGAGTTTTAATCTGTATAAAGATTTTGATAATCTGAAACCATGTTGTAATTCTTCTTTGATTCTTAAACACTAAGTAGAGGGGTATGTTACACCCGAAACGTGTATTTTAAACACATATCAACTGAACTAAATAAAAATGATAGAATGCCAAGTGTTTGAATTTATTACATAGTGTTTAAGAATCTATATAAAGACATTTCTAATTTTGATGAAGTTTGATGATATATTGTTTACATTTCAATAAAAGAAAGTCATTACATTAACAAATATTTTTAAAAATATAAAATAATATATATTACTAAGTGTTTTTAANTTTTTTTAATCAATCAAAGCCAATAAAAATTTAATCAATAATAATTTTATTGCAATTATTAGATATTTAAATCAATTCATTAATTTATTTAAATAAATATTTATCATCATAAACTATACATAAATTATAACTAAAAATTTAAGCAGCAATTTTTTCTAATGTTCAATTATTTTATAAACAGTAAATTATAAATTAATAGTTTTAAGAGTAATTTATAAATTTCATTATTTAAAAGAACCTTGAAATTTAAGGCTTAAATCAAAAGTCAATATCATAATTCAGTAATACCATACTGATAATATTTATTTTTTTTAAATACATTATTTTAAGTACTTTGTATATTTCTTCAAAACTTCTTATTAAAATTTCCAACAGATTAAAAATTTCAGAATTTAATATTATGAAAAATATATAAAAATAAAATATTTCAAAATAATAGCAAAGTATTTTATACCACATTACAGTAGTTCAAAAACTGTTATTTTTTCAACAACTTTGTCATAAACTTAAGAGTTAAAGTTCTGAATTTCTTATACATTAGCATATCTACTACAGAAAATATTGTACATTACTGTTTTCTTTAGAACTCAATAATATTAAAATATATTATAAATACAAATTAATAAGCAAAGGGAAGTAAATTTCAGATGATTAAATTTCACCAATTATTTATTAAAAATCAAATAATGTAAGCTTATTATCACAGAAATGAAAATTGTTAGAATATCTAAGATTTAGTCTAAAATGTTTTCAAATAAGCAGCCTTTCTTTTATACGTATCGTATATCTTGGCAGATAAGATGATAGTTGAATCATAAAAAACAGCCCCCAAAACCCAGGGTCATCTTATAGGGCAGATACAAAAAAAATTAGATTGAAATTTATATAAATTAAAACCATTATAAAAAAACGGACAAACCTTAATTACTTACTAGTAGAGAGAGTAGGGTATGTGCACAAAATAGAATAGCCCATACAACATTTTTGTGAATAGTCAAGGTCATTACCCAAATGCTGAATCAGTGTGAATGTTTGCAACAATTGCAAGGCAGTGCTGCCAGATGCAAGAAAATAAAATTTGTTCATTCAAAAAATTACAAATAGGACATAATTCCATATACACTATATAATATTATTATTCAGATGAAGATCACTGACCTAAACTAAATTCATGGGCCATTGATAGTTTGGGGGTCGTCTTATAGGACAGATATATGCTAAAACTATAAAACTTTGACAAAGATTTATACCTCGTCTTATCTGCCAAGATATACAGTATATATATTCCTAGGATAGGTTCATCAAATTTATTTTACACCACTAAACATAAAATAAATTCAAAACAATTATCAACATTTAGTCATTAATTAGTAATTAAAACCAATATTACTATTATTATTCAAACATATTTCTTTAAAATATCAATAAACCTTGAGTTAAAGTATAATAAGTAACTAGACAATTGAATGTACTATATTATAAATAAGATCATGTATTACAAACATGATAAGGGGGAAAAAAAATATGACTTTATATTATTAAATGTATATAAGAAAATAGAAAATACAAAAATTCCTTTAAAAATAGAAAATGTTAATAAAGAACAGAAATAAAATCTACAAAACAAACTAAATAACTTTTTTAATACAGAAAAAACTGTGATTATAACAATTAATACTGAATGAAGAATGCATCTTTAAATTAAGGAATATGACATGTATAAAAGTTTAAATAAGAAATATTAAATTTCAACAGTTGGGTAATTAAATGTTTAACTTTAATCATTTGTATATGACTAAATAATGAAGTAGGTGTTGGATTTATTTAATATGATTTTGATTCATTCATGTCAGAGTAAAATGGCTATAAATGTACAATTTTTGTTAAATGATACAAAGTCATTTTCATAGATGATAGATTCTAAACATGAAATAATTCAAATGAAAACATATTAATGCAATGTGAAATTAATGTAGAAACATATAGAAAGAAAATAAATTAAAACTTCATAAACATGATATGCTTCACTTAATTTTATACTAAATAATTTAAAAATTATTATTATTATTATTTATTATATAATTAAAATTAAATTTTTTATAACCTGATTATCTAAATCATCTAAACGTTTCTGTGCCTCTCCTTTTTGTATTTCAAGCTGTCTTAGCATAGCTGTTAAAGCATCTTTTTCATTCTGTAAATTTTTTAATTCTCCATTTTTTATTTTAAGATCAGCTTCTTTTTGAGCTATATCTTGCTCCAATGTCATTTTCTCTCTATAATGATAATATTCAATTAAAATGATTGTTTATCAAACTTATTTTAATTAAGTTTGCAGAATTTAATGCAAGTAAAATAAATCTAAAAAATTAGATGATTCCATTATAGTTGAATATAATTTGTTTTATTTTGAAGTTTCAATTTACAAAATAAAACAAAAATCTAATTTTAAGATATTTTAAAAATGTTTTGACAAAATATTTTTAAATTTATGAAAAAACATATACATTTAATAAAATGAAAATAAATTCATTAATTTCAAAAGAAAAATAATATTTATTTATTTATTTTAATATATACAAGGAAATGTCTTGCATTCAAAGGATTTCCTCCCTGAATAACAATAAAAAACCCAAAACATAACACGAATTTAAGAATAATACAAAATGCATTTACAATGACATTTAATATAATATTGCAACTGTTCTAAATGCAATAATATAATAAAAATGTATCAAAGAACCATATCAGACACATTATCAGTTAAAATATGTTTTGAAAATGTTAAGTTTATTTGAAATCTTATAATTAAGAAGAATAAATTTATATTAATTGTAATATTCAAAATCTGTAATTTACAATCTTTTTGAGTTCAAGCTTAATCTTTAAATGGAATAGATTAATATTTACAGAATTCTTATTCAAAATAATTATTTCCTTAACTTTTTTATCTAAATTTAAATTTGTAGAATAGTTATTGTGAAATAATCTAAACTTCCTTAATTGTGTAAGCAATAACACTAATATTTCTTCCTTAATTAATATATTGATACATAAAGTATAATAATCAATAAATTATATTAACATTTATTTCTGAAATATTTCAATAAAATTTTTAAAAATCATGTCATGCAATAAATAGAATTTACTTACTTTTGCAATTCTTTTATCTCATTATTAATAATATCTATTTCTTTATTTCCAGAACTATCAGATACTTCTTGTATTGAACCATTATCCTAAAATAAGTATTAATAATAATAATAATTAACTATTAGATTTAATAAATCATAACATATGCATTTATATATTAAACATATATAAATGTATAATATGAAATAAAAATGTGTGTAAAAATAAAAAAACTTCTGCAACAGTACTATATGAATATAAAAAACAAATATATTAATTAATGCAGTAATATGAATACATGAATAAATAAAGCTATAAAAACTTAACAACTCTAATCAGATAATTTTTTTTACTTCAATTAAAAATGATAATGTAAGAAAGATAAGTTCATTTCAATGAAACAAGATTTTTAAAAAGGAAATTCCTTTTTTCAAGGAAAAAAGTGAAAAAGGAAACATTCTTTGTTCCTCCTTTTTCTTTTTAAAAGAATTATCATTTTCATTAAAATAATATAGCTTTATTTTTGAGAAGTTTTAGTTTAATTTACTTATTTCACTTTATCCTCACTAAATTTTTCTTTCTTAAAAAATTAATAAAAGACTTTAGAATTTAAAACAGATTTAACCTATAGTCTTATCAATATTATTTTTTCATTTTTAATCAATTCAAATAAAATGTATTCCATTTAATAAATGACTTTTTGTTTTTATTGTCTATTTTTAGTAAATAATGTTGCCAATTAAATGTTTATTTTAAATCAAAACATTATCAACACAAAAAATATAATAATGGTATCAAATTTTACAGCTGATTATTATTGAAGTTTGAAATTGTTATTCAATCAGAATGCTTTATATAAGCACTATAAGATGAAAAGGTTCAACTAAGTGATAGAAAAAACAGGAATAACACACACAAAACTGAAAAATACCAGAATTACTGAACATTTTGTGATTATAACAGTTGATCAAATGATGAATCTTGAATTTGGAATCAGTTTAAAAAACAGATTAAATGCTTAATATTAAAAAAGACAGTAATATTTACATATGACTATTATTATTATTATTGTTGTTATGTTTTGTGAGTTAGAGTTATACTCGGTTGACACCGGTGGCTGTGTACTATGCCAGACCAAAGTCAAGGCATAGCAACCAAAACAAAACTAAAATTAAAGAAGTGTGTCAGTGTGTGTGTCTGTATTCAGGAATTTCCTAACAATGTGGCATGTATTCAATATAGTGGCCTTCTGTAGTGTGATGTATGTATTTCTACTCAATTGTAATGTTCCCAGGCTTTTGTGTAGTGTGTGTGGTATCACACCTGTACAGGAGAGAACAACAGGTACAATAACTACCCTATCCATCCTCCACAGATGCCTTATTTCCTGGGCGAGTTCTGTGTACTTGCTAATTTTTTCAGTCCCTGTGTTTTGTACATTGTGATTTGGAATGGCTATGTCTATAATGTATGTGATTTTATTGTGTTTGTCAATGAGTGTGATGTCTGGTCTGTTGTGGTAAATTGTTTTATCTGTGATTATGGCTCTGTCGTAGTACATTTTGTGCGTGTTGTTTTCCAATACTGTCTGTGGAATATACTTGTAGTATGGTTCGTGAATGTCTACCAAGTTATGTTTCTTTGCAAACTCTTGGTGTATTATATTTGCTACTTGACTATGTCTGTGTAAATAATCTGTCTGTGCCAAGAGCTTGCAACCAGAAGTGACGTGTTGTATAGTTTCTGGCATGATATGACATTTTCTGCATGTGTCATTTGTGAGTGTTGTATCTTTGAGTATGTATTTTCTGTAGTTTTTAGTATTTATGACCTGATCCTGTATGGCAATCATGAATCCTTCCGTCTCCCCAAAGAGGCATCCCCAATCTAACCAGCTGTTTGACACAGTTTTGTCAACAAAATCCTGGGCCAGGTCATAAGAATGCCTACCATGGAGGCCTTTTGAGCCCACAATTGCTTGATGGTGTCTATGCTTTTTATATGTTGTGTCATGTCTGTATGATGTGAGTGTAAGTTTAATGGTGTGTTATTTGAGTCTGCTAGAGTTACTGCTTTATGTAACTGTGATGTTTCTTGTTTCCTATAGAAAAACTCTCGCACTGACTATATTTGTTCGTAATAAGGTTTATAATGTCAATCAGGCCACATCCGCCATCTTTACGTGGAAGGGTTAATCTTTCTGTGGCAGGTTTAGGATGTTGTTGTTTATGCTTAGTAAGTGTTGTTCTTGTTTTCCTTTGGAGTTACTCAAGATCTGTGTGAGTCCAATGTATAACTCCAAAAGAGTATGTAAGTACTGGGACGACATATGTGTTTAATGTTTTAACTGTGTGTTTTGCATTTAACTGTGTTCTGAGAATAGCATTTAACATACTTTGGTATTCTTTAATTAATCTTTGCTTTATTTGTGTATGTTCCATTAGTTTGGCCTGTTGGAATCCTAAATACTTATTGAATCCATGGAAGAGGGCGAGTTCTACAACATCTCCACTTCCAAGTGCAAAATCTTCTTTCTTCAGGATTCCTTTTTCTATGTGAAGTTTTTTGCATTTTTCTAAGCCAAACTCTATTTGTATGTCCTTGTTATATGAGTGTGTGATTTGTAGGAGCTGCTGAAGTTGTTTCTGTGTGGATGCATAAAGTTTTATGTCGTCCATGTATTGTACATAAGATGTGACAGCGTAAACTGTTGTTTTTTCATGTCTGATATTGTAGCCATATTGTGTGTTGTTTAACATGTTGGATAATGGGTTCAGGGCTAGGCAGAACCAGAGAGGACTCAAGGAATCTCCTTGAAAAATTCCTCGCCTAATGAATATTTTGTTTGTTTGTATGGTAGTGTTACTAACTCTGAGATGTAGTGTTGTTCTCCAATGCTGCATAGTGTTTTGGAAGAATGCAACAAGTGATGGCTGTATTTTGTACATGTGTAGAATATGTAGCAGCCAACTGTGTGAAACACTGTTGAATGCTTTTCTGTAGTCTGTAGTCTATATATGCCATGTGTATGTTTCTGTGTTGTTTGTATGCTTGCCGTAGAATGACTGAATCTATGAGTAACTGTTCTTTGCATCCCCTGTGATTTCTACAGCAACCTTTTTGTTGTTCCATAAGAATGTCGTGTTCTTCAACATGTTTGTATATTTTGTTTGCGATACAGGATGTCAATAATTTGTAGTGTTGGAAGACATGTAATTGGTCTATATTGTGTGGGGTCTGTAGTTTTGTTGTTTTTAGGTTTCATGTAGGTGATGCCCTGAGTAAGAAATTTTGGCATGTCTTGTGGATTGATGATGATGTGTATTAGATGTTTAGCTAGTTCCTGGTGCAGTGATGTAAACTTTTTGTACCAGAAATTGTGAATGTTATCTACACCAGGTGTCTTCCAGTTGTCTATTCTGTTCACAGTGTAGCGGATGTCATGTACGTTTATTTCAGCACAGGGCATAGTTGGTATGTTGTGCAAATTTCTGTTCTCCTCCTCGATCCAGCCTGCATCAGCAATGTGTGTAACAGCATTGGACCAAAGAGAAGACCAATAAGTTGTGAGTTCTTCTTCTGTTGGTATGCCACTGTGCTGTGTATCAGTGTTTGTTTTGGTACTAATTTGTCTGTAAAAGTTTTTTTCATTGTTTGTAAATAACTTATTTTGTTGTTTTCATTGTGTACATGTTTTGGCTGCAAGTTTCTGTTTTAGTGTATCAATGTATTCTGTAATGTGTGTGTTGTGATGTTTGTGTTTTGTGTGTGTTTTGATTTTCTTGAAAATGCTTTTGAGTTGTTTTCTAGGTTTAACACCCTAATTTGGGTGTTATGTTGTTTTTAGTATATTGTGTCAGCCTGCCTAATTGATGTCTAATGTCATTTATTTGTGTTTCTATTCTTCTCTGCCAGGCAGGTTTGTGATAGAATTGTGTTTTTTATGTATCTGTCTATGATTGTATTTTCAGTCCATGGTGTATTACTACTGTGACTGCCCCAGCATAAACTAATGTATGATTGTCTGAGAGTGTAGAAATTGAATGAATGTAGTTTAGTAGTAAGTGAGCGTTTACATAATTTAGTGTTTTTCCTACTACCTTTGACATGTTCATTTTTGGTATTCATGGTCTTTGTGTGGAATCTGTACCTGTATATTTAGTGAGTGTTTCCTGAAATATAAGTGAGAGCGTATTAACTAATTCTATGTCTATCAGTGATAGATGAGGAAGTGCCTGTAGTATCATTAGTTGTAGTTGTTGTATGTGCACTATTATCAATGCTTGTTGCTGGATTATCCTGACAGGTTACATGATCTTCATTACTAATGTTAAATGTTTCTGTCTGTTGATGTATTTGATCAGCAACCTTTTTTTGATAAGTTCAAGTGTTGTTTGTGGAATAAGGTTGTTGTGTATAATTGTTCTTTTTTGATCGACAACCCTTTGTTCGGTGACAGTGAGGTGACGATATTGTTGTGTGAATCTATGGTGTAGTTGTTGTCTGTATGCTGTCATGTTTGTTTCGAGTCTTGTGATTGTGTAGTAAGTACAGATGATAAACTCGTTCATTTCTGTTGTCCATTTCATCCGTTGGCATGGTTTTCCAGCCTTTGTGGTCTGTGGATGCATTGCCACAGAAACACCAAGGCTAGGTTGATTCCTCACATCTGTTGAGGGCATTGTAGTAGCCATGCTTGGGCCAGTGCTGCTTTCACCACCAGTAACCAAGGGAGACTGTGGCCTATTTTTCGAACATGAGCCTCTGCCTAACCCACGAACGTGGACCTTGTTAACCCAGGCAATATCCAAGCTGGTATCATATTTAGATCTGGTTACTACCATGATAAATATCTCCACATAATGTGGGTGTGGTCACTCTTAGCTTCATTTCTCCCCATAGACCTTACTAGCATGGGTGTCCCTACCAGGAACTTATCAACCAGCCTGCATTGCCCTATGGATCAGTAAAATTTCTGGGCTCTCCCACCACAACCAGGTGGTGACCACGGGAGAGTTATTATTATTATTAGAATTGAAACAAAATACAAGAATTTAAATAATATCAAAAAGAAAAAATAAACAGATTAATAGAAAATATTTCTTAAAATAACAGAATTTTAATATATTTAACTAGGTCTGTAAGTTTAATTTTTTTAAATTGAAACTCAAAATTAAAGTACAAAATATATATTAAAATAATTTAAAATAAATTAATAAAAAATAATTAATTACCAACAAATTGAAAAATAATAGAAAATTAGCAAAAAAAGAAGAGACTTCAGCATGATCATTTTTCATTTGTAAATGTTCCTGATGAAAAATCCATTTTCTTAGATTCAAATATACATAAAATACCACCAACACTATGTAGAATGATTACAACATTTATATTCTAATTTTAAATGTATTTACAATATTTTATCACAAAGAAATTAGGTTATTATAACTGTTAATAAAGCTGATTACTTTTATTTTATAAACATGTAAAAAACATTACATTGCATTTTTTTTCCTATATCAGAAACTGAATATTTTATTAATAAATATATTCTGTTGATATGCTGATTAATCATGATTAAAATTAGTTTTAACTATTACAATAATTTTTTCAGAGTTTAAATTTTTAACCAATTAAATATAGAATAGATAACAAATAATTGCTTAGTAATATTGTATTAAAATTTTACTTTAACTTGTTAATTTTATTTATAAACTTTTTACTTACATGTATTGCATCAGAACCAGGTTTTGGTCTAAGAGTTGGAGGAATCATATCTGATGTAAGGCTAGTAGGAATTTCTCCACCTTGTAACTTTTTATTAACTAAATACATTGCTAAAGCAAACTGTTCTGTATTCAATTTACCATTCTGCTTTACATCACATAAATTCCTATATAAAATATTTAAATATAAATAAACACAATGATACAAAATATTAATTTCTGATGTTTCTACCATAATAAAATTAAAAAAAGTAGTATAAATTATTACAAATAATTGTAAAATTTATCATCTATATAGTAAAATATAGATGATATATTGTAACAAACACTAGTATAACAAAACCATTATTATAATGAATTTATTTTAAGTCCTTGTCAATTTATTATGTATCTTAATGTAAAAATATTTCAATTTATCATCATAAAAATTTCATCCCTGTATATAAAAAAATTATCATTATAACAAAATTCTTAAAAATATAAATTAATCATCTTTCATTGTCAACAGATACCATTTCAATATTTATCTGCAACACAAATTTTAATCATTATTGTCAATTTAGTTTGTAGTGTAGGATCATTACCAGGGGATGATGCAAGAGTGGGCAAGGTGGGTGGCTGTCCAGGGAGACAGATTGCTAGGGGCAGCAAAACTGGCTGAAGAAAATAAAAATAATCATACTTTTCCTGTTAGCAAAAGAGTCATGCCAGTCATCTATCTAACATCTTTCAGGGGAATTATTTTGAATTAAAATAACATGACTTCTAGTGCAAACCAGAAGATTTTATAATCAGGGTCTCCTGCTCTAGGTTTCTGTATCTGGTCTTGTGTTTCATCTAATTCCATTCTTGAGATTAAGAAAGACATACAGACACAGAAGGATGACAGTGGAAATTTATAGGTCTACAATTTTTTCAAACTGCAACCCTACAACAAAACATTCTTAATTTCAGATAATTGATTATTTTAATTTTAGAAAATAATTAAGTAATTCAATATGAGAGGTCCTAGCCTTCACTTATTATTTTATAAAATAATATTAATATTATATCTTTCTTTGTTTGAAAAAGAGCATAAAAAATTGAAACAATAAACATGTTTATAAGCTGAAAACGAGAGAAAAATCTAAACTAATTTCAACCTGCCCTACAATCATGAATTTAACTGGGTTTTTTACATTTTACATTATGCCTGTATTTAAAAAAGAGGTGAAAAATAACTAGTTTGTCTAGGACAGCATAATTGCTAGGTCAGCTCCTTGTCATTAATTACTGTACACCATCATCCTAAATAGTAATCTTGACTTTATCTAATACTTTAAAAGTGAAGTCAAGATTACAATTTTTTTGTATGCAAATAACATGACATATCATTTTCTGGTAAAATAAAATGATGTGCCAAATAGCATATTGAAATGTTGTGATATAGTTCAGAAGTTAAAAAAAAAAAAAATATTTGATTACACATTTAGTACAATAAAAAATTACAGATTTCTTTCAACAAAAACCAATAGCTATTCTCAAGAGAAAGTTATTATTTATCATCTATTCTTCTGCTACTTTGTGTATCAGCTGTTTGTTTAAAACCGTGCTGACAATAAGTTTTTAATTACAAGCATACTTTATTTGTGTTTAGGGGTAACAGTTTCGTTCACCTACTTTGAAGCTTAATAACTCCTGTGGCTTTTGTCAAAATTTCTGAAATTTTGCAGGGAGGTTTGTGTATTAGGAGCATTGGTCTATTAAATTTTGGAGGTTAAAAGTCGATGAAGATAGAGAGGGTCATATGTCATATCTCAAGTGGAGTTAGACTTAATGAAGATTTTATTCAATATTAGCATTTACATTTTTTTTTATAAAACTCATCTCAACCTTCAAAATTAAGCTCTTTGCCATTTTATAATAATTTTAATAACACAAAAAGTTTTTTAACAAAATCTCATAACAGATGGCACATAGAATTTGAATTTTGTTCTGATGTATTTTTGTGTTTATTAAGCAAATATTTTTCTATAGTAATATCTCAAACATGATAAAACCAGATCTCAGAGTGCCATTTTCCCTCTGAAAAAGCAAGAAAAGTGAGTTAAAATACAGAAACAGTGAGTAAAAAGTGAGTGTAATAGTGACAAAACAAAGTGAAAACATGGAAGGAAAACTCAACAAAATAGCAGTAAAAGTTGTTTTTTTCTCTTTTTATTCTGTTATGGTTAAATACATTTTAAACATTTCTGTATATTACTGTAATACAGTAGCCATTCNAGTGAAAACATGGAAGGAAAACTCAACAAAATAGCAGTAAAAGTTGTTTTTTTCTCTTTTTATTCTGTTATGGTTAAATACATTTTAAACATTTCTGTATATTACTGTAATACAGTAGCCATTCCATTATATCGCGGATTCGGATAAATCGCATTTTTTTGGTCCTCCAAATTTTAAAATACCAATTGCCATTGAATTTCTATTTGCAACAAAATACAGTATTTCTACCATTGTCCTTGAAACTACCACTGAAGGTGAAACAACAAATTCATCAAGATCTAAATATGCAAAACAGGTAGACATATCAATTGTTATTTGTTTTAAATAATTGTCTTTTGATATTAAAAATTGCTTATTTGTTAGTTTTAGTCTCCTCATTTACAAGTTTCTGTGAATTCAAAATTTTACACCTTTATGTGAATTGACAGGTCAATTCACATGAAGGTGTAAAATTTCGAATTCACTATACTGTGTAAGGAAAAGATTTCTTTAATTCTGAATGGAAAGTTTTTATACAGTAGTAACTTTATTTTGCTTTTTAGAAGATTTTTCCTCTCTGTAATTTTATAAATTTTCTTGGTTCTATTATATGTTCCATATTTATTTTTAAAAATTTTCAATAACAGCATTTATAATTTTTACTGAAAAACATATTACACAAATTTTTAATAAGCGATTTATTGTGAAAATAAATCGCTTATTAAATACTGTATAATACTGTACTATGTAATAAAATTGTAACTGATATTTTGTTTTTATATCGATAGTGTTTGTCTTTACATGTCATTGTTAAAGAAACAATGCTAAATGTGCATTGGTGGTATCGATGTTTATGTAAACGTCGATTAATACGATATAACCAAGAATAAAGTTCAGTATTGAAAAACTAAGCTTATTTTATATCAAAAACACTTGCTGATGAAAAAATAGAGGATAGAGATTGCATAGCATGTATAATCTGTCTAGTATAAGCCCAGAATTTAGTAGTACTCGGTTATATTGAGCTTTTTTTCTTTGTCTTCCGACTAGCGCAATATAACAAGAAGCTACTGTATTTCCATTAAACTATAAATACTTAAAAGTATTTGGCATCTGTAAATAATCGGTAATGAAAAATGATGTTCTTTCATTCTGATTATTCTGGATGTTTTCAGCTTCCTTCCTTTTTTAGTTCCTTTTGCTTTTGAACACTTTTAACACTAACAAGCATTACATGTGCTTCCTGTACTTCATTCATGTTCTTGCTGTTAATGGCCTTCTCCCAGTTTTTTTTTTTTTTGTTTTTTTTTTGCTGCTTTTAACAAAACTTGGCCTGTTGCATGTATTTCACTTTCTTCTACTTTTTTCTGGTTTAAGCACTCTTTCTGGCAGTGATGCTCTATCAGGAGGAAGTACGCCGCGTGAAATTGAAAATCCCCGTTCCACATCAGCATTGCCATAAGAGAGGGTCAATGCTGATTTCACTAATTTAGCTACACTGGGACATCTATCATGATCAGAAATTGTTTATTTTTTGATACTTTGAGACGTGTAAATATTGATTTCAAAATAAATTAATAAATCTGAAATAAACAGATTTTAAATAGTATAAGTATAACAAGGTTTTAATAATGGTTTCATAAATAATAAGGAACTTTTTCCTGCAGATGAATAAAAAGCAACATCGTTACAACATTGTTAACCTTTTGGGAAGCGTGTGAAAATTTTTCCTGCCAGCAATCACGTGTTTTACTTTTTACAACACTTAAAATTTATATAACATCTATCTAACTTTAGTGCGTAAATGGCTTGGTGCGTAAATAGTGGTAAATGCAGGAAACGAACATGGTTTGTCACACTAAGTGTGACAAACCATGTTCGTTTCCTGGTGGTAGGCGAATGCGAAATATGGTCATAGGGAACACACGTAATCTCTTGCATTTCATTAAAAAATCCAGCTTCGCTCTAGCCTTAGTAAAGCTGATGACGATCTTACAGTATGAATTAGTCGGCATCACTTAATAATTATATAATATCTACTGCACACCGGATTGTATAAAATAAATATTACGTACTTGAACCTATAACCGATGTGAATTGAATACTTTTTTTCACGACGAACGTTTTCATAACCCCTTCTGGGCTCTTCTTCAGGTGAAACCGCTGGATCAAACACCAAAAACGAAATTTGAAAAAATACGAATTCTGTCGAGTTTGAATCGTTCGGATTGTTCCTTATTTCGTCACATGACATGTTTGAACGTGATCGAAGTTAACGATGAACGTCCAAATTCAAGAGAGAAAGATATTATTATGATATTTAAAAACGTGCGATTGTGATACATAATTTAATACTGTTCTCACATGTTCCCCAGTACCTTCTGTTTTTATTTTTTATCTTATTTTTAATAAATAATATTTCGCTGTTAATCTGTATGTAGTAGGTTTTGCCATGCCATGGAAAGGCCGATTTCATCTCTTGAATTAATACAAGTGGATGTATCGTATGCTCTAAAAATTTTCTTCTCCTCCAACCATTTTAGATGGTGCATGTGCGGTGTGGTGACGATTAATTAAAATTTACCAAATAAATTAAAAGATTCCATGTGTAAATATGAATTTACATTTTCATTTACTTTTTTAGTCTCAATTAATGCACATTTATAATCAGCACAAGAAAAGAAATTTAAAAAAAAAATGGATATTTCACAAATAAAGTAATCACACATTTTATGAAAATAAAAATTACTACACTAAATAATTATACTTGTAGTCAATTTGCACATACATTTAGGAATATATAGATGTGATTAAATGTTAACAATATGCTAAGAAATCATTAAAATAATTTTAAATAATTTCATAAACTTGAGTTAAATAGAATAAAGATAAATAAAGTAAAAAAACATTCTTGTAAACAACAACTCCATAACCCAATTATTAATTAAAACCAAATGGTTTGCCAAATTATTGGGCTATAACAAGAATAATTAAATGGTCAGAAACGAAATAATTTGTCTAGAGGTAGGAGGTTACACCACTTTCTCGTGTTAATTTTAATAATTATAATATATTGTTGCTCAAACACTATTAAGTGTGACAAATTTAAACACTTGGCATTTTTTTCATCTTTATTCAGTTGATACTAAATAACTAAATAAATATTCAACTAAATAAAGATGAAAAAATGCCAAGTGTTTAAATTTTTCACACTTAATAGTGTTTGAGCAACAAAGAAATTACAAAACACGATTTCAAATTATAAATAAAAAAATTATAATATATTTTAAATTTAGAAGCGGCAGCAGTGTTGTCAGCTTGAGCAATTAATCCCTCGGCATAGTGTGTTTTTCCCTACAAAGGTATTTTTCTTAGAAAACAGCCAAAAACGTAGGGATGCTTAATTAAAATACTTATTTTTAATCCCCATAGATAGAAATGCAACTCTGAAGAACTAGATTTTGGCTAATGACAATATGGCATGAGTACATAACTTTAATTGATATTGGCTCAATTTTAGCTCTTTACATACATGAAAGGAATTTTTGTTTCCTATAACCAAACAACACTAAGCGGAAGTTGTGATTTTGAGTCTCGCTCAGGGCCGAGATTTTCTTCCAGAAAATTCTAGTCTAATAGTTCAATAATTTGGCAGATTGTTTGACTTTAAAATTATTTTTGATTGGTCCCACATCTTAATTGAGCACCATGGAAATGACCAAAAAAGTGAGAAAAGTGAGAAAATGACCTAAAAGGTGAGAAAAGTGAAGATACTTCAAAAAAGTGAGTACAAGTGAGAAAAGTGAGTGACTCCAAGGCCTGTAAAACAGAGACAAGACATTGATTCTGAAATAAAAGGTAAAAACTTGAAAAATCAAGTTGTATACTTGTTTTTATTCATAAATTTTGATTTTATCAAAAAAATAAAATTTATTTATTCTGAAAATTATCCGCACTCCCAACATTAACATCTTTTGATGTTTTTTATAACTTTTGATAGAATAAAACAATTGAGTTATAATTTTTTTCATATTGAAAAATATGTATATACAGTATTAACAAAATTTTAAGAAATTAATATTTTCCCAACCCCCAACTCTAGGTCAGGAATGAAAATATAAATAAATTTTTTTAATGAAATTTTTTGAGATAAATATGTTTTTGTGTTATTAATCATAATTTTCATCAAAGTAAGACAAAGATCTTTATATTTTGAAGAGGTGGAGAGAGAGAGAGAGTAATATTTTTAAAATAGTTAAATGATTTTACAAGTAATCATTTTTATTAGTAATTTTATGTACATCTGAAGACTTAATGGTAGTAATTATTAGGGATGAAAAGGAAAACAAAGAATGCTGAGAAAGTCCAGCAATAACATTGCCAGCTTTTTTAATCTATAGTTTAAGTCAAGTTCAATACATCATGCTTCCACATACATAATTTGCTTACTAATATTTTCAACATAATAATATTAAACTGTGTAATTATATAATTTAACATAAAAAAATGAATATAACANTGATTTTGAGTCTCGCTCAGGGCCGAGATTTTCTTCCAGAAAATTCTAGTCTAATAGTTCAATAATTTGGCAGATTGTTTGACTTTAAAATTATTTTTGATTGGTCCCACATCTTAATTGAGCACCATGGAAATGACCAAAAAAGTGAGAAAAGTGAGAAAATGACCTAAAAGGTGAGAAAAGTGAAGATACTTCAAAAAAGTGAGTACAAGTGAGAAAAGTGAGTGACTCCAAGGCCTGTAAAACAGAGACAAGACATTGATTCTGAAATAAAAGGTAAAAACTTGAAAAATCAAGTTGTATACTTGTTTTTATTCATAAATTTTGATTTTATCAAAAAAATAAAATTTATTTATTCTGAAAATTATCCGCACTCCCAACATTAACATCTTTTGATGTTTTTTATAACTTTTGATAGAATAAAACAATTGAGTTATAATTTTTTTCATATTGAAAAATATGTATATACAGTATTAACAAAATTTTAAGAAATTAATATTTTCCCAACCCCCAACTCTAGGTCAGGAATGAAAATATAAATAAATTTTTTTAATGAAATTTTTTGAGATAAATATGTTTTTGTGTTATTAATCATAATTTTCATCAAAGTAAGACAAAGATCTTTATATTTTGAAGAGGTGGAGAGAGAGAGAGAGTAATATTTTTAAAATAGTTAAATGATTTTACAAGTAATCATTTTTATTAGTAATTTTATGTACATCTGAAGACTTAATGGTAGTAATTATTAGGGATGAAAAGGAAAACAAAGAATGCTGAGAAAGTCCAGCAATAACATTGCCAGCTTTTTTAATCTATAGTTTAAGTCAAGTTCAATACATCATGCTTCCACATACATAATTTGCTTACTAATATTTTCAACATAATAATATTAAACTGTGTAATTATATAATTTAACATAAAAAAATGAATATAACAAACTATGTTAAAATATTACATATCATATATAACTTACAAATTCATTAAAACAGCACTGGTTTATAAATTTAAAATCATATATCATAATATTAGATAAGCAAAATATAAATAAATATATGTACATATATATATATAAAATAAATTATCTATTTTGTTTTTTTCTACAGTACTTGATTTTCAATGAATTGATTTAAGAGTTAAATTAATATTGCTATATTATTTTTGCTAGAAACTTAATTAACTAATGATATAATTTAGTTTACACTAAATTATATCATTAGTTAATGAAGTTTCTAGCAAGTGAGAAAAATTTCATATTGATAAATATTTATTTTTCAATATGAAAAAATTAATACAGCAATATTAATTTAACTCTTAAATCAATTCATTGAAAATCAAGTACTGTAGAAAAAAACAAAATTAGTAATTTTCTATTGCGATTAAAAAAATCTGTCATTGTTATTACTAATAAAAAGCTTAACTTAAGATGGAAGATCACAAAACGGTGAAAATGTATGTTGAAAAACATTTATTCAAGATTCATATTTAAATGAATTCCTCATTTTCCTGACCACTGATGACGAGAGAACAACATATAGCAATATTACATGACTTTTTTGAACAAAGAAATTTTTATTCAAACACTATAAAATAAATATACGGGATACAATAAAATTAAGATTTTTAGATATTTAAAAAGAATTTCAGTAAACCAAATTTAATTATTTGGAAATTAATAGTAATGATCAAACTGATAATTTTTTAATTTCCTGAGTACCACTTTGCAAAAAAGTTGCTTCTCATAATTCTAATATAAATTAATTTTTTTATATTTATAATTTATAATTAATTAATATAATTAATTTTTATATTTATAATATTTTTATGATATTTCTATAATAATTTAATTCAATTTTCATATTACTATCCATTACTTTTTATTCTTATAAATAATATCATAAATTAAACTATTGGGTTGTTCGGAAAGTAATTTTGTTTTTTTACCACTAGACAAATTAGTCATATTTTTCCCACCATTTTCATTCTAAACC